CGGTGATGCCAAGGAAGTCACTATTGGAGATGATGGTGTATTACGGATGCAGGGCAGGCTATGCGTGCCTAATGTAGATGGTTTGTGCGAGCTGATTCTCCAGGAAGATCACAGTTCACGGTACTCTATTCATCCAGGCGCCGCGAAGATGTATCAGGATTTGAGACAACACTATTGGTGGAGGCGGATGAAGAAAGATATAGTTGGGTTTGTATCTCGGTGTTTAAATTGTCAACAGGTAAAGTACGAGCATCAGAGACCGGGTGGATTACTACAGAGACTTGAAATTCCGGAGTGGAAATGGGAGCGTATTACCGTGGACTTCGAAGTTGGGCTCCCACGGACCTTGAGAAAGTTTGATGCTATTTGGATGATTATAGACCGGCTAACCAAATCTGCACATTTTATTCTAGTTGGTACTAATTATTCTTTGGAGCGGTTGGCTGGGATTTATATTCACGAAATTGTTCGCCTACACGACGTGCCAGTCTCTATTATTTCAGATCAGGGTACGCAGTTTACCTCACAGTTTTGGAGGGCAGTGCAACGAGAATTGGGCACACAGGTTCAATTGAGTACAACATTTCACCCTCAAACGGACAGACAGTACGAGCGCACTATTCAGATATTGGAGGATATGCTACGCGCTTGTGTCATTGATTTTGGGGGTTCTTGGGATCAATTTCTGCCACTCGCGGAGTTTGCTTACAATAATAGCTACCAGTTAAGCATTCAGATAGCTCCGTATGAAGCTTTATATGGGAGACGGTGTCGGTCTCCGGTGGATTTGTTTGAGCCGGGTGAGGTTAGACTATTGGGTACTGACTTGGTTCAGGATGCTTTAGAGAAGGTTAAAGTAATTCAGGAAAGGCTTCGCACAACACAGTCTAGACAGAAGAGTTATGCCGACAGGAAGGTTCGTGATGTTGTTCACATGGTTGGGGAGAAGGTTCTGCTCAAGATTTCACCCATGAAGGGTGTGTTGAGGTTCGGGAGGAAGGGCAAGTTGAACCCTCGATATATTGGGCCTTTTGAAATACTTAAAAAAATTGGAGATGTGGCTTATGAACTTACTTTGCCACCTAGTATATCAAGTGTTCATCCAGTGTTCCATGTATCCATGTTCCGAAAGTATGTCGGGGATCCGTCTCATATTCTGGATTTCAGTACAGTGCAGCTGGACGGTAATTTGACTTATGATGTGGAGCCGGTAACTATTTTAGACCATCAGGTTCGAAAACTGAGGTCCACGAACATAGCTTCGATGAAGGTGCAGTGGAGAGGCCAGCCAGTCAGAGAAGCTAATTGGGAGATTGAGCAGGAGATGCGGAGCAAATATCCACATCTAGTTGAGACTCCAGGTATGATTCTATGCCCGTTCGAGGACGAACATTTATTTAAGAGGGGGAGAATGTAACGACCCGTCCGACCGTTTTGACTATTGCAATCTCGTTCTCCCATTTACTGCTCAAATTATGAATTATAGTTGTTATTTGGCTTGCTGGGGTAATTGGTTTGGGTTCGGTGAGGTTTTGAAATGATTTAGAGCGCTTAGTTCCAAGGTTTAGAATTTAAGTTAAAAAGGTTGACAGGATGTTAACTTATGTGTAATGACCCCGGAGAAATTTTGCTAAGGAAATTAAGGTTTGGTGGTGCCGAGGTAGATCAATTAGTACAAAGATTATAGAAATTTCTCGCGGCGAGCAACTCGCCGCGGCTCGGACTTTTTGGGTTGAACAATGCACCTATGTTTAAAGGAAAATTTTGTCGGAAAAAGGTCATTTCTGCGACCACTATGTGGTCATAAAATCACTATGCGGACCGCATAATGGTCGTAAAGTGGATCAGGAAAGGGGCAAGATTTGAGAAAAATCTGCGGTGCACTATGTGACCGCAAACCTGTTTTGCGGTGCATTATGCGACCGCAGAACAAGTATGCGGGCCGCATAATGACCGCAAACCGGGTCAGTAATGCCCACCTTTGGAGGCCAAATTATGTGGCCGGTATGCAGATCACATACCTGTTATGCGATCGCATATGCGACCGCTTAACTGCGTCGGAGCTTCCATTCTTTCTAATTTTTTAACGGACCCAACTTCGATTTATAGCCCTTGAAGCTCATTTTTAGCCAAAATCTGATATTTTAGAGAGGTGAGAGTATTTTAGAGAGAGAAAGTGAAGACTTAGTCATTTATCCATCAATTCTTGTTCAAGGTTTGAAGATTTCACAAGGATCTTGCTAGGGCTTCAAAGAGGTAAGAATTTCTTTCCTCAATTTTTCGAAGACAATCAATATAAAAGCAGAACAACACATAAACAGAAAGGCTAACTTATTCTTTCAAAGCTGACTGACTTTTGTTTATTTCTGCAGTTCGATGATGCAAGGCTCTCTTCCGGCATTAATAAAGTCTGTAGAATAAGATAATAATAGAAGAAATTAGTTTAAAAATAATCTAAATAAACATAAAATAAGTATACATTAAACACAAGTAAAGTAATAGAAGAAATAAGATAGTCTTACCAGCTTCAAGTTGTTCAAGATTATCTAAATCTTCTTCAATTTTAACTGGAGTTGTTGATTCATTCCGAAACCAATCTTGGACACACTCAAGAGATTGAACCAACCTAGGAGTCAATGAACTCCTAAATGGATCAAGAATGCATCCACCGGTACTAAAGGCCGATTCTCAGGCAACACTAGAAATCAGAATGGCTAGCACATCACATGCCATCTCATCAAGAGTGGGAAATCTGGGTGAATTCAACTTCCACCACCTCAGAATGTTAAAATTTTCATAGTCTTCCTCAACATCTTCACCCAAATATTTATCTAACTCTGTTTTAAAATCAATTCCTTCACTCTCCTTATGCTTCTTTAAATCTAGCATGGATTTTGAAAGCGATGATGAAGAAGTAGATGAAGTTGAAGAAGATGGACATAAACCAGGAGAAGATGAAGATGGACATGAACCAGAAGATGGAGAAGATGGACATGAACCAGAACCACCATTCTTCTTTGCATACAAATTGAACAAAGATTCCATGTATGTCTTCACCTCATTTGTATTTTCACACCTATTATTTCTTCAAACATAGCAGCAAGCGCAAATGAAAGAGATTGAAACTTGTGGCATGGATCCAACACACATGAAATAAAAATCATTTTGTTCATCTTTTGTGGATCCCCCCAATACTTATCAAACTTCTCTTTCATACTCTTTGCCATTTCTTTCAAGGTAGCATATTCACTTTGCATCAACTCTTTCAAAGAAGAGCCAACAACACATATCTCAAGAAAGTGCACATTAGACGTAATATAAAGTGTACCTGATACCTTCAAGGTGAGTTCATAGTTTTTTTAAGAAACTTCACAATACGTCTTACACTATCCCAATCAGTACTTAAAAGAGGACATGCAGGTTGTCTATCCTCATAAATACAGTTAGAAATACATGACATCAAACCATAATCAATATCACAATATTTTGTAAAGGCTTCCTCATAAACTGTAGCAACCTTCAACATCAAATATGTGGAGTTCCACCTAGTAGGAACATCCAAGTACAATGATTTTTTAGAAGTTATCTTATCGAGATCACAACATTCTTTAAACTTCTCCATTTTGCGGGAGATTGTCTTATGTACCTAACAACTTGTCTTATTCGTTCCACAGACACATTCCCTTCTCTCAACCCATCGTGAACCACTAGATTGATGATGTGAGCCATACATCTCACATGAACATGCTTACCTTCCATCAAGTTATGTTCCATCTGGTAAATTGTTTGGATAATTCTTTAACCATAACATCGTTAGAACTCACATTATCAACTGTCACAGTAAATACTTTATCCACTCCCCATTCAAGTAAACACTTAGCAATACCACTAGCTAAATCTTGGCCTTTGTGACTAGTAATTGGACAAAAATTCAACATCTTTTTATGCAAATTCCAATTCTTGTCAATGTAATGTGTTGTAATACACATTTAGTTAATTCTTTGAATTGATGTCCATGTATCAGTCATAAAACAAATTCTCTATTTTGATTCTTTAAAAATTGACTTCAAAGCAAGTCTCTCTTCATGGTAAATCTCAAGACAATCCCTAGTCATAGTAGTATGAGATGGAATATGAAATAAAGGTTGAAGAGTTCTCATGAAGTCTCTAAATCCATCTTTTTCAACAGAAATGAAGGGTTGTTTATCTATAATTATCATACGAGCTAAAGCCCTCCTACATGCCTCTTGATCAAATTTCCAAGGGATAAGTGAGACATCACCTGTTTGAGCTTTCTATTAAAAAGCTAATTTTGTCTGGCTTGTCTCCGACTTGTTGGGATTGTTCGGACACTTGAAATTATGCGATAGCAAATTGCTTGTACCACTGTTTTTGGTATTAGCTACATATTCTTCTTGACAATACTTGCATTTCGCATTTTTAACACCCTCGACATCAGTGGACTTATTGAAGTGTCGCCAAGCAACTAATCTTTCTTTCATGATTTTTCTTTTCTTCGAACCAGATTCAGATTCAATGTTGGTTGTGGAATCATTTGAAGCACCACTTTCACCACATTTTTCAAGAGTTTGAACTTCATTCACCATCTTTACCTCATCTTCCATCTACGAAACAAACAAAAAATTACAAAGTAAAATCAGATTCAGAATAGTAGTAATAGCATGGACTATTTCTGTTAAAGAAAGTGAAGAGTGAAACTCCCAAAATAAATTTAGACAACAAATCAAAAACTAAAGTCTTAGTAGTCCCTAAAGCCAAACAACCCCAAACCGATACGTGTACCCAAATAAGTCTTAGTAGCAGTCCCTAATTTATTTCATTAATTTCTTCCATGAAATAAAAGAGAACAAACACTTCCTTAAAGCTCTAAGAAAGGGGGAGAAAGAGAGAGATAATGAGAGAGAGAGAGAGAGAGAGAGAGAGGGAGTCAATCTTACCGTAGTCCGGTCGTCGTCGATAATCGAAAGTTGGAATACAGAGAAGAGACAGAGGAAGCGAGCAACATTCTCTAAAAATAAGCAGCAGTCTCGGAGTCGGAACACAGAGAAGAGAAAAGAAAATAAAATAAGACCTAACGTAACCCTAAAATTAAAGTTAGTATTTATACTTGCCCTAATAATTTCGGATTGCGGATCGGATTGGGTCAAAATTATACCAATTCGAATCCGATCCGAATATCCAAAATTTTAATAAACAAAATTAAAATCCGATCCAAATATCCGAAATTGAGCGGATCGATTCGGATTTTGGATATCCGATCCAAATGCACAGCCCTAACTGGAGGTACCACCTTGCTAGTCGATCACTAAAGACATGTTTTGACATAACAAAATTGATGGTATTTACTCTAGAAATAAGACGAACGACATGAGCTTGAAAGTAGTGCTTCAACTTTTGGATCGAGAAGACTAGTGCCAAACTTAACTTTTCGATTAGCGAATAATTCAGCTCATTTGGTGTCATCATCCTGCTCAAGTAGTAAAGGGAGTTTTTTTTCTCTTTACTATTTTCTTGGGCCAACAACGCTCCAACACACCTTTTTTGTGCTGAAATATATAGTATCAATGACTTTTCAGCTATAGGGGTTGCCAAAAACCGGAGGCTTCATCAAGTAAGTTTTGATGCGTTCAAAGGTATTGCTACAAGTTTGGTCCCACTTGAAAGGAACACCTTTCTTCATGAGGCGACTGAATGGTTGGCATTTCCCAGCTAGGTTTGATATGAATCTTCTAAGGTATGCTAGCTTTCCTTGCAGACTTTTCAATTCATGAATATCGCGAGGCTCAGGCATCTTCAAAATGGCATCCACTTTGGCTTGATCAATTTTGATCCCTCGATGTCAGATAATGAAGCCAAGGAACTTTCCAGAAGTAACTCCAAAGGCACATTTCAATGGATTTATCCTAAGTTGGTACCTCCGGAGAAACTCAAACACCATTCTTAAGTCTTTCAAGTGGTCGATCTTCTCTTTTGATTTTACCACCAAGTCATCAACATAGCATTCGACATTCTTGTGGAGAGTATCATCAAAAATATTCTGCATAGCCCTTTGGTAAGTAGCGCCAGTGTTCTTCAAGCCAAAAGGCATTACCTTGTAGCAATAAATACCCTTATGGGTACGGAATGTAGTTAGCTCTTCATATTTTGGGGCCATACGAATTGGTTATAGCCCGATGAACCGTCCATAAATGACATTGCCTCGTACTAGTAGTAGCAACGATTATCCGCTCTGGAATAGGAAGCGGGAATTCATCTTTGGGAAACACATTGTTGAGATCTCTAAAGTCAATGTACACCCGAATCTGGCCATTCTTCTTCCTTACAGGGATAATACTTGAGACCTATGTTGGGTATTTAACTTCATGAATAAAGCAAGCTTCAATAAGTTTGTTAACTTCACTTTCGATTAAGGGAACCAAGTCCGGCCTAAAACGCCTTTGGGCTTGCTTAATAGGACGAGCGTCATTCTTGACTGCAAGGTGATGAACTACTACTTTAGGGTGCAAGTCAGACATCTCTTTGTAACTCCAAGCAAAGACATCCTTGAACTTCTTGAGTAACTCGATATAAGTGCTTTATTCATCGATTGCTAGTAAAGCACTTATGTATGTGGACCTTGGTTCTTCATCTGTGCCAAGGTTAACTTCTTTTAAGGCATCAATCATTACCTTCTCCCCTTCTTCAAGTTTCGGGGGAGCATCTTTCGCATCTTCATCTTCTTGAGGGTCCCCATCATTGAAGGATATGTGATAACACGGTGAAACATCCTCCAATTTCTCATCATCCTCCATTAGATGAAACACCGTGCTCGCCTTGTGCAGTGACATGATACGAAGAACCCATACTTTATTCATCACGTCCTTTAGTGTAGACCACAGTGTATGGCTTCACCTTTACTACCTCCTCACATGAAACCATGACTTTTGTTTGTCGCCTCATTCTAGAAGGGACCAGACTTTGGAAATCCTTAGAGATCTTTTGAATTTTGGGCAAAATGGGTGTTCTTGTATTTCGATAAATTCTCTGAAACTTATTCCCTTTCTTTAATAGACCCAACCTCTCAAACATAGAAGTCCTCACAGTTGATTTTCCAAATCGATCAAAAGGCTTGTTAGAAGTGGCAGATTCATCTTCTACAGTGATACAATTGATGCTCACCCTTTTTATGGAGATGCGTACTGGTGATGATTGCTTGTATCCCAAACCTTCACGTGATTGCCTCATAGCAGCTTCTGATGGGATCTTCCCTAACTTTGACGGCTCATTGGGAATGTGTCCAGCTTTTGCAAATTTCATGTAAGCATTAGGATCAAAACCTTCATTTGTTCACTTTGTAGGGAGTGCCATATTATGGAAATGATTTTGGGACACAAACCATGCAAGTGGCTTTGAGGACAACTTTACTGCCTCAATTCGTTTTACCGGAAGAGTTAACTCTTTTAGCATGTTAGTTTGGAGATTAGATGATTCAACTTCATCTTTCTTCCTTTTATGGATATATTGGAGCGTGGAGTTACTTTATTGCCATAAGACGCAATATCCCCTTTATAGGATTTATTCGAGTTTGGTTGTACCTCCTCAGTAACAGCTTTGGCTTTACTAGCAGTCACCTCAGCTCTTTTAGTTGTGGGCTCGTCATTCTTGATTTTCATGACATCATCAACTTTTAGCTCCTTCATAATGCAGTTCTTCAAGTAGAAATTTACATCGACGAAGTGTGACTCAGCCTCGGTGAATGGCTCGTCATCAGCAACTATCTTCTTCTCAACTTCACCGTCGTAGTATTTCAAACATTGATGGTAGGCAGATGGAACCAATTTATTCTCATGTATCCAAGGTCTTTCAAGCAAGACGTTGTATGAAGTCTTTGCATCGATCACATACAGCCATGCACTTGATTGCATATCTTCAACGGTGATTCCTAACCTGATCACACCTATGGATATTTGCCCCCCTTGGTTGAATCCTTGGATCATCACACGACTTTACGAGAGTTCGTTCATGGGAATACCAAGTTCTTTTATTGTGCGAATTGGGAAGATGTTCAATGAGTATCATACATCAACCAAAATTCGATTTACCCTTTCATCACGCATATAGCCAACCAAGTACAATGGGCGGTTATGAAGAGTGTCACCGTAGAAGATTGTCATTTGTGAATGTAGCTTTTTCCTCGCACGCGTTAACTTCTTGAGGAATAGGATCGATGAGATTTTATGAAGATGGTGCCAACGGTAGGTCATCACTCTTTTCTTCCCCTTTATCAGCATTGCAACAAAAGGCCTCAATACCATCACGGAAATTTTTTATGCGGAACCAAGATGGCAGGAAATCCTCTAAGGTCACTAGATGTAGTGGCTTTTGAGAGTGGTGCACCTCCACTTTTGCTTTTTTCAAACGCCTAACTGGATTCTGTTTCCTTTGCCTTTTTACCATAATTTTCCTTGTTGGTTTTAATATACCAAACCAAACAGGATAAGAAATAATCCCAACATTATTAATATACCCTATTCATACACCTACCAAATGACCCCTAACTAAGGGTTCGTTAAAGGTCGTTTGGTATGAGGGATAATGAATAATTAATTTATCCCAAAATTA